TAAGATCAACATCTATATTCAACAACTTAGGGGATAAAGTATTCAATTTTAGAATCCATCTTGTCTCATTCTGTGAAATCGACCCTAGTTCAGTATATTTCCACCACGCCAATGTGGCTCAACTTTGTCAATCCCACAGAACCTGAGCAAAGATGGATCCCTATTGTGGCACTTCCTAAAATGGTAGGACAAACTGTGACGCCTAAAACCTTTGATAATGTTTCTAATATGCTCCCCCAGTCTTACAGATAATTTTCTAGTTGTTCTTCCCACGTATTGAAGGTGACAGGGACATTCCAACAAATACATTACATGATGTCTATCACATGAAACAAATTTCTTATTATTATATAATTCCCCTTTAGCCTTTGACTGAAATTGTAAGATGTTCCTATTCCTGTCACCCTTCATCACTTTACAAGCCATACACCTCCCACATTTGAAAAATCCCACCTGATCCACAAAAGTAATTTTCTTGGAAGGTGGGTCTGGGACATTCCTCACAAGTTTATTCCTAATAGTTGGTGGTCTCCTATAAAATGAAATTTTATGAGATATAAATTCTTTGATTGTTGTTTATTGTAGATTTTGGTTTTTTACTTTTATTATTTTGTCTTTATTTTTGTTTTATTTTATTTTTATATTTTTTTATTTTAATTTTATTTTTTGGTGTTTTTTTTTCATTTTTTGTTATTTTTATTTTTATTTTTGTTTTTTTTTTTTTCTTATTTTTGTTATATTTAATATTTGTTTTATTTTTTTTTATTTTTCATGTATTTTATTTTTGTATTAGATTAATTGGTATGGAGTAATATTTGTTTTATTAAAATAAATAGAGGTAATTAAGTGTTTGTTGTTTATAATATCGATATTGTTTATGTGTATTTGGGCTTGCAGATTGTAATTGGGAAGTGGATTGGAGGGATGAGCCTCGGGGCCTATTATGAAGCCTGACTATATTTTGTTATCATGTGAGTGTATAGAAGGCAACTTGTTTTTAAAATTAAAGAGTTTTTTTACAGTATTGCACTATTTGTTGTTTTTGTTTTGTTTTCCGTTGTCATCCAATCGTGGGAGGAGTCGTTTTTGGAGGATATTGAGTGCAGAGTTATCTGGGAGGACACGCCCACTCATTCTAAGCTTGTCTGACTCTTGTGCCATATCAGGAAGAGTCCATTCCATCTGGTGAGGGGGGGAGGAGCATTCATCATGGATGGGGAGTAATTTGTTTGAGGAATTTTGGATCACAGGTTTTTTTGGGGATTGAGCACAATTCATATATTTTTGGGAAAAAATAATTTTTTTTGTGTTGACTTTATATTTATTTTTTAGTACTTTTATTTATAGTATTTTTTTAATTTTTATATATAATTTATTTGCGCTGTGGAGTGTTTATAATTTTACAAAAATAATTACATGTCCAATGTTCTGTGTGAGACCAGATATAGTGAATGCGGGGGGGCCGGGCAGAGCGGATATAGTGAATGCAGGGTCTGGGGGGAGCGGATATAGTTGAATGCAGGGTCCAGGGGAGAATTGGATATAGTGAATGCAGGGTCCGGGCAGAGCAGATATAGTGAATGCAGGGTCCGGGGGGGAGCAGATATAGTGAATGCAGGGTACGGGGAGAGCGAGATATAGTGAATGCAGGGTCCGGGTAGAGCAGATATAGTGAATGCAGGGTCCGGGGAGAGCAGAGATAGTGAATGCAGGGTCCGGGGAGACCAGATATAGTGAATGAAGGGTTGAGGGCAGACCAGATATAGTTGGGGGAGAGCACATATAGTCAATGCAGGGCCCTGGAGAGAGCGGATACTTGAATTCAGGGTCCGGGGAGACCAGATATAGTGAATGGAGGGTCCAGGGAGACCAGATATAGTGAATGCAGGGTCCAGGGAGACCAACCTGATATAGTGAATGCAGGGTCCAGGAAGACTGGATATAGTGAATGCAGGGTCCGGGGAGAGCGGATATAGTGAATGCAGGGTTCCAGAGAAAGCGGATATAGTGAATTTGCAGGGTCATGGGGAGAGTGGATATAGTGAATGCAGGGTCCGGAAGACCTGATATAGTGAATGCAGGTCCAGGGAAAAAAAAAAAAACCAAGAGCGGATATAGTACAGGGAGACTGATATTGGGGTTGCAGGGTTTTTTTGGGAGACCATATATAGTGAATGCAGGGTCCGGGGAGACCAGATATAGTGAATGCAGGGTCCGGGGAGACCGGATATAGTGAATGCAGGGTCCTGGGGAGACCAGATATAGTGAATACAGTGTCCGGGAGACCAGATATAGTGAATGCAGGGTCCGGGGAGAGCGGATATAGTGAATGCAGGGTCCGGGGAGAGCGGGATGTAGTGAATGCAGGGTCCGGGAGAGCGGATATAGTGAATGCAGGGTCCGGAGGAGAGAGTGGACAGAGTGAATGCAGGGTCCAGGGAGATCCAGATATAGTGAATGCAGGGCCCATGGAGAGCAGATATAGTGAATGCAGGGTCCTGGGAGACCAGATATAGTGAATGCAGGGTCAGGGGAGAGAAGCCAGATACAGTGAATGCAGGGTCCTGGGAGATCAGATATAGTGAATGCAGGGTCCGGGGAAGAATGGATATAGTGAATGCAGGGTCCGGGGAGAGCGGATATAGTGAATGCAGGGTCTGGGGAAGAGTGTGCGGGATGACGTCATGACGTTACCATTCATCGGGACATCAGTTATAGTGAAAGCGGCTCCTGGAACGACATTACAGCAGGCATTAGCATTCATTAAGTGTAGCCCCGTGCTTTGCCTGGCATTACATTATGGATGGGGTCTGGTTTGAGCATGTACAGGACTCTGCTGCTGAGATGATACTGCCATCTAGTGTTAAATCAGTACATCACTGGATGTTCATCATACCTGGTGCAATATACACACCCGAACGTGAGAGCATTTCATATGTTTAATTGATGAATAAAAGTGTAAAAGGATAAAGCACTATGTGGAGTTCTTTGTAATGAGGAATACGGCTGATACAAAGACGCTTATCAGGAGGGAGATTACTTTGGAGTCTTCATTCAGGACAAGCTGATCTTCTGAGTCCAATGGGACCAAAAGTGCAGTTAGACGTAACATTGTATAATGTGCTATGCGTGAGGTGAGCAGATATATGGTGGAGGAGTTTCTTTGCACGGGAATTGATGACAGAGCACATATTTTTCATCCAAAGGAGGGTTCACAAAGGAACACTTTATTGATTGAACTCAGTTTTTGAATGACAGTGGTCCTTGTTTATATATTACTATATAAATATTTAGTGATTTTTTTTTTGTTTGGTCCTTGTTTTTATATATATAGTTATTGATTTACTTAATTTTTTTTCAATAATTTTTATTTTACATATTTATTTTTTCCCTTTGCTTTTTGATATATAGGAATTGTGCAATTGTTTCATGTAACTCATTTTTTTCACTTCATAATATGATAGTGAATGCAGGGTCTGGGGGGACAAGATATAGTGAATGCAGGGTCCTGGGAGAGCAGATATAGTGAATGCAGGGTCTGGAGACCAGATATAGTGAATGCAGGGTCTAGGGATAGTGGATATAGTGAATGCAGGGTCTGGGGAGAGCAAGATATAGATTGAATTTGCAGGGTCCGGGAGACCAGAATATAGTGAATGCAGGGTCTGGGAAGAGCGGATATTTAGTGAATGCAGGGTCCAGGGGAGACCAGATATATTGAATGCAGGGTTCCTGGAAGACCAGTAAGATAGTGAATGCAGGGTCCAGGGAGACAGATATAGTGAATGCAGGGTTTGGGGAGAGCGGATATAGTGAATGCAGGGTCTGGGGAGACCAGATATAATAAATGCAGGGCCCATGGAGAGCAGATATAGTGAATACAGGGTCCGGGGAGAGGATATAGTGAATGCAGGGTCCTGGGAGAGTGGATGTAGTGTATGCAGGGTCTGGGGAGGGATCAGGATATAGTGAATGCAAAGTCCGGGAGAGCAGATATAGTGAATGCAGGGTCCCTCGGGGAGGGATATAGTGAGTGCAGTACCCGGGAGGAGTGTGCGGATGACGTCACCATTCATCGGGACAGCGGTTATAGTACTCTGTAAGGCTCTTGGAACGACATTACAGCAGCAATAGCATTCATTAAGTGGCCCCGTGCTTTGCCTGGCATTACATTACGGATGGGGTCTGGTTTGAGCATGTACAGGACTCTGCTGCTGAGATGATACTGCCATCTAGTGTCTAATCAGTACATCACTGGATGTTCATCATACCTGGTGCAATATACACCTCCGGAACGTGAGTGCATTTCTTATGTTTAATTGATGAATAAAAAGTGTAAAAGGATAAAGCACTATGTGGAGTTCTTTGTAATGAGGAATACGGCTGATACAAAGACGCTTATCAGGAGGGAGATTACTTTGGAGTCTTCATTCAACAAGCTGATCTTCTGAGTCCAAATGGGACCAAAAGTGCAGTTAGACGTAACATTGTATAATGTGCGGTCACACTGCGTGAGGTGAGCAGATATATGGTGGAGGATGTCTTTGCACGGGAATTGATGACAGATGCACATATTTTTCTTTATCCAAAGGAGGGTTCACAGAAGAACACTTTATTGATTGAACTTGAGTTTTGGAATGACTTTTGCTTTGATTCATACTTAAAAAATACTTTGATTTTTTTTTTTTTGTGTGGTCCTTGTTTATATATATAAAGTTTTTTTTACTTAATTTATTTTTTCAATTATTTTTATTTTATTATTTTTTCACTTTGCTTTTTGATATATAGGAATTGTGCAATTGTTTCATGTAGCGCAGCATTTTTTTTCACTTCATAATATGATATGTGAATGCAGGGTCTGGAGAGAGAGGATATAGAGAATTCAGGGTTCGGGAAAACCAGATATAGTAAATGCAGGTCTAAGGGAGACCAGATATAGTGAATGCATGGTCTGGGGAGAGCGGATATATAGTGATGCAGGGTCTGGGGAGACCACTTACAGTGAATGCAAGGTCCGGGGAGACCAGTTATAGTGCATGCAGGTTTCCGGGCAGACCAATTGTAGTGAATGCAGGGTTGAGGGAGACAAGATATATTGAATGCAGTGTTCCAGGGAGAGCAGATATAGTGAATGCAGGGTCCAGGGAGAGCAGATAGAGTAAATGCAGGGTCCGGGGGGACAGCAGGTTAGTGATGCAGGGTCAGGGGAGAGCAGATATAGTGAATGCAGGGTTGGGGAGAGCAGATTATAGTGATTGCAGGGTCCAGGAAAAGAAGGATATATTAGTGAATGCAGGGTCCGGGGAGACCAGATATAGTGAATGCAGGGTCCGTGAGGAGAGCAGAGATATAGTGAATGCTGGGTCCGGGGGAGAGCAGATATAGTGAATGCAGGGTCCGGGGGGGAGACTGGATATAGTGAATGCAGGGTCCGGGGAGACTGGATATAGTGAATGCAGGGGTCTGTGAGACCGGATATAGTGAATGCAGGGTTGGAAAGGGGGGGGGGGACCGGAAATAGTGAATTGCAGGTCGGGAAGACAAGACGCAATAGTGAATGCAGCATCCGAGGAGGCAGACATAGTGAATGCAGGGTCTGAGGAAATCGGATGTAGTGAATGCAGGGACCGTGGAGACCAGACCATATTTAGTGAATGCAGGGTCCTGGAAGACCAGTAATAGTGAATTGCAGGGTTGGGGAGACCAGATATAGTGAATGCATGTTCCAGGCAAGACCAATTATAGTGAAATTAACGGGTCCAGTGAGAGAAGAATGGTATAGTGAATGCAGGGACGGGAGAGAGCGGATATAGTGAATGCAGGGTTCGGGGAGACCGGATATAGTGAATGCAGGGTCCGGGGAGACCAGATATAGTGAATGCAGGGTCGGAAACCCTGGGGGACCGGAAATAGCGAATGCAGTGTCCGGGGAGACAAGATATAGTGAATGCAGCGACCAAGGAGAGAGACATAGTGAATGCAGGGTCCTGTAGGGAGATCGGATGTAGTGAATGCAGGGTCCGTGGAGACCAGATATAGTGAATAAAGGGTCCAGGGAGAGCTGGATATAAATGAATGCAGGGTCCGGGGAGAGCGGATATAGTGAATGCAAGGGTCCAGGGAGAGTGGATATATTGAATGCAGGGTCTAGGTAGCGGATATAGTGAATGTAGGTTTCTTAGCCCGGGGAGACCAGGTTACAGTGAATGAAGTGTCCAGGGAGACAGTGGTATAGTGAATTAGGGTCCGGCTTCCTGATATAGTGAATTCAGGGTCCTGGGAGAGCAGATATAGTGGGAATTCAGGGTCCTGGAGAGAGATATAGTGAATTCAGGGTCCTGGGAGAGAGATATATAATAATGCAGTGCCTTCGGGGAATTAGTTGCAGATTTTTTATATATTGAATGCAGGGTTCAGGGAAACCAGATATAGTTGAGATGAAGGGTTCGGGGAGAATGGATATGGATATTGTGAATGCAGGGTCAGGGGAATAGTGGATAGTGTAGTAATGCAGAGTCCGGGGAGAGGAGATATAGTGAATGCAGGGTCCAGGGAGAGCGGATATAGTAAATGCAGGGTCCGGGGATAGTGGAATGGATATAGTGAATGCAGGGTCCGGGGACACTGGATATAGTGAATGCAGGGTCCGGGGAGAGAGCAGATATAGTGAATGTGGGGTCTGTGGAGACGGACGATTATAGTGAATGCAGGGTCTGGGGAAAACGGATATAGTGAATGCTGTGTCCGGGGAGAGACCATGCATAGTGAATGCAGGGTCCAGGGAGACCAGATATAGTGAATGCAGGGTCTGAGGAGACCAGATATAGTGTTTGCAGGGTCCTGGGAGAGCGAATATAGTGAATGCAGGATCCAGTGGAGAGCAGATATAGTGAATGCAGGGTCCAGGGAGAGTGGATATAGTGAATGCAGGGTTGGGGAGAGCGGATTATAATGAATGCAGGGTCAGGGGGAGACAGATACAGTGAATGCAGGGTCCGGGGAAAGCGAATATAGTGAATGCAGGGTCCGGGCAGAGCGGATATAGTGAATGCAGGGGCCAGGGGAGGAGTGTTGCGGATGACGTCACGACATTACCATTCATCGGGACAGCGGTTATGGTACTTTGTTCCGGCTCCTGGAACGACATTACAGCAGCCAATAGCATTCATTAAGTGGCCCGTGCTTTGCCTGGCATTACATTAAGGATGGGGTCTGGTTTGAGCATGTACAGGACTCTGCTGTCGAGATGATACTGCCATTGTTTAATAGTGTCTAATCAGTACATCACTGGATGTTCATCATACATGGTGCAATATACACCTCCGGAATGTGAGTGCATCTCTTATGTTTAATTGATGAATAAAAGTGTAAAAGGATTAAAGCACTATGTGGAGTTCTTTGTAATGAGGAATACGGCTGATACAAGACGCTTATCAGGAGGGAGATTACTTTGGAGTCTTCATTCAACACGCTGATCTTCTGAGTCCAAATGGGACCAAAAGTGCAGTTTAGACGTAACACTTTATTGATTGAACTTCAGTTTTTGAATGACTTTTGCATTGATTCATACTTAAAAAATACTTTTTGATCATTTTTTGTGTGGTCCTTGTTTTTATATATATATATATATATATATATATATATATATATATATATTTTTTTTTTTTTTTTTTTTTTTTTTTTTTTTTTTTTTTTCTTTACTTAATTTTTTTTTCAATAATGTTTATTTTAATATTTATTTTTTCACTTTGCTTTTTGATATATAGGAATTGTACAATTGTTTCATGTAACTCATTTTTTTCACTTCATAATATGATAGTGAATGCAGGGTCTGGGGGTACAAGATATAGTGAATGCAGGGTCCTGGGAGAGCAGATATAGTGAATGTAGGGTCTGGAGAGACCAAATATAGTGAATGAAGGGTCTAGGGGATAGTGGATATAGTGAATTCAGGTCTGGGGAGAGCGGATATAGAGAATGCAGGGTCCGGGGAGACCAGATATAGTGATTGCAGGGTCTGGGGAGAGCGGATATATAGTGAATGCAGGGTCCGGGGAGACCAGATATATTGAATGCAGGGTCCTGGAAGACCAGTAATAGTGAATGCAGGGTCCGGGGAGACCAGATATAGTGAATGCATGTTCCAGGAAGACCAATTATAGTGAATGCAGGGTCCAGGGAGAGAAGATATAGTGAATGCAAGGTCCGGGGAGACCGATATAGTGAATGCGGAGCGGAAGTGAGGACGTCCGATGACGAAACGCGTAGGGCGGAGCTTGATTGATGTGACGTCATTCCGTTTTTGGCTGCCAGCCTGCGCATGTGCTGAGTAGCCAGGCTCGTTTATGTGATTGCTGTTATGCTGTTGATGCTGTGTCGGCTGGGACACCTCTTGAGTAAGTGCAATGAGTACCTAATAAAGGAATTGGTTTTTATAATATTGCACCATGAAGTCTTTCTGTTTCTCCCGAGTGCTTGGCATTTCCCCCCATGGATACGATTGAAGGTGGTCTTTTCTTTTGGAGAAGTGGATTTCCGATTAACTACAAAGTTTCTGATCCTGTTATTTGATCGATGAGGATCGGTGTGTTGCTGAGTTTTCGCTTCTGAAAATATATTTATGGATGATCTGCCATCATATTATCAAGGTTTTTTGGTGAAATTCTTCAAGTTTAGACACTTTTTTTGCACAAAAGTTTTTTGCACTTAAAAGTTTTTTTTTGCACTTTTTTGTGGTATTGGTATATATATTTTTTCTGTACTTATGATTTGATGATTTTTTTCATTATATATATTTTTTTATATATTTATATACATTTACTAGCGCAAATTATTTATATTAATTGGGTACACTTTATATATGGTGGTTTTTTGCAGCTGGTACACTATAAGTAAAGTTATATAATTTTGACCATAGGCGCTATTATTAATTTTTCCTACAGATATAGTGAATGCAGGGTCCGGGAGGAGAGCAGATATAGAGAATGCAAGGTCCAGGCAGACCAGATATAGTGAATGGTTAGCATTTCCACCTGGCAGTACTAGGGTCGCTGGTTCAAATCCCAACCACTGGGTCTGGGGGAGCGGATATAGTGAATGCGGGGTCTGGGGATAGCGGATATAGTGAATGCAGGGTCCGGGGAGACCGGATATAGTGAATGCAGGGTCCGGGGAAACCGGATATAGTGAATGCAGGGTCCGGAGAGAGCAGATATAGTGAATGCAGGGTCCAGGCAGACCAGATATAGTGAATGCAGGGTCCAGGCAGACCAGATATAGTGAATGGTTAGCATTTCCACCTGGCAGTACTAGGGTCACTGGTTAAAATCATCCCAACCACTGGGTCTGGGGGGAGCGAATATAGTGAATGCGGGGTCCAGTGAGTGCGGATATAGTGAATGCAGGGTCCGGGGAGAGAGCGGATATAGTGAATGCAGGGTCCGGGGAGAGCGGATATAGTGAATGCAGGGTCCGGGGAGAGCGGATATAGTGAATGCAGGGTCCGGGGAGAGCGGATATAGTGAATGCAGGGTCCGGGGAGACCGGATATAGTGAATGCAGGGTCCGGGGAGACCGGATATAGTGAATGCAGGGTCTGGGTAGAGCGGATATAGTGAATGCAGGGTCCGGGGAGACCGGATATAGTGAATGCAGGGTCCGGGGAAACCGGATATAGTGAATGCAGGGTCCGGAGAGAGCAGATATAGTGAATGCAGGGTCCAGGCAGACCAGATATAGTGAATGCAGGGTCCAGGCAGACCAGATATAGTGAATGGTTAGCATTTCCACCTGGCAGTACTAGGGTCACTGGTTCAAATCCCAACCACTGGGTCTGGGGGGAGCGAATATAGTGAATGCGGGGTCCGGTGAGAGTGCGGATGTAGTGAATGCAGGGTCCGGGGAGAGCGGATATAGTGAATGCAGGGTCCGGGGAGAGCGGATATAGTGATTGCAGGGTCCGGGAGAGCGGATATAGTGAATGCAGGGTCCGGGGAGAGCGGATATAGTGAATGCAGGGTCTGGTGAGAGCGGATATAGTGAATGCAGGGTCTGGTGAGAGCGGATATAGTGAATGCAGGGTCTGGGAGAGCGGATACTGTATCTACATCAACATTAGTGATATCAGCACTGGCCACCATATCATCACCAGCATCATCCACATCATTACCAGTTACACCATCATGAACACCGGTCCCCCCCAGCGTTGATCTCACCATGCGAATTGGGGGTAGCAACACTGTTCACATGATCCATGTGCTGGCAGTCCACCATGTCGCTTCTCTGGGTTTCCTGTACTGTGAAAGTCCGCTGGGTTGAACTAACACTCCTGCTATCCTCCAGAGCTGGAGTCTTTCCTTCAGGAAGCACATTTGTTGGCACCGTGCATTGGACCAGTTCCCCAGAGTCTGACTCTGAAGAAGACTCAATCTTTACACTTAACTACACCTCAAACCAATTGTGATTCTGATACACCTCCCCCACTGGTCCGAGTTCTTCCAGAACAGCATCAATGTCCTTTGATATACTGGCCAGTTCAATGCCCAGGGAGTTTAGTTTGCCATCATATAGGACTTCTTTCTTGGGGTTGGCAGCCTTGAGTCTGTAGACAGAGTCAATCTATTTCTGGATCTTTGCCTTAGTTTTCCTCAGGGTCTCCATTCCCTTCATCAGAGCAGGAATCTTATCAGCCAGGTGCAGCACAGGTGATGACTTTAACCCTTTCTGCTTCATATCTGCAGGACATTTGAAATGATGATCCCCATCAGCAGTACTTGGCTGAGGGTCTCTGCCGGGTATAGGACTACGCCGGGGCAGACTGTGGAGGGTTATTGGTGCCATCATCTTTATTCTGCTGGGATTTGGAGCGTGATGAGCATTCCTGGCCACTAACAAATATAGGGTAAAATATACAGTAAGCGCTCAACAATAGTGGCAGCAGCTGAACATAAAGGAAAACGCATATAAAGTCCCACAATTCATATATATAAAAATGCAGCGCTTAAAGAAAGTGATGATAAAACACAGTCCAATGAAAGAAGTGCTCCGTGATTCCTAGTGCAAATGGTAAAAATTTACACTAACCAGACAGCGTAAAAATATACGCATGTGTGTATATATCCTGTAGAATCCCCTTCTCCACTCGGATTCTGGTCAAATGAATAGCCGGAAAAGATAGACGTCCTACGCCCTCATGTGGTGAAAGAGTGGTCACACTGACCCGGCGGCTTAGTGTCAACGGCGTCCTGGGCATAGGTGGGACCCAGGACGCCGTTGACACTAAGCCGCCGGTGCCACGAGGAGGCCCGGCGGCCATCTTTAATACCAAAGGGTCAGTGTGTTCATTCATACCTGCCAATACCCTGTTCACTGTGCACCTATGTTTTCATAATAAAGCCTTACCTACTACACTATGAGTACTTCCCTATGTCTCCTGTGAGGAGCTTCCTCAATTCTTACAGCCCCAAGTGATCCCTGTGTCAACTCCTGTGAAGGGGGAGGCTTACTCAGATTGATATTTCTCTGACCTGCTGGACCACTCTTTCACCACATGAGGGCGTAGGACGTCTATCTTTTCCGGCTATTCATTTGACCAGATCCGAGTGGAGAAGGGGATTCTACAGGATATATACACACATGCGTATATTTTTACGCTGTCTGGTTAGTGTAAATTTTTACCATTTGCACTAGGAATCACGGAGCACTTCTTTCATTGGACTGTGTTTTATCATCACTTTCTTTAAGCGCTGCATTTTTATATATATTCCTGGCCACTACCCACCATTACACACTGCTGACTGCTGTAAGTTCTCCTTCAAGGTTTTCTGCTCCAGCTAAGTCCTTGCATATTTGCGTGGAGTACTGGGAGTGACAGATGCCTCTGCTCTGCTTTGAACTGTATGGGCACTGCTGGGAATGGGCTGGGTTCTGTGTGGCATGGGCTCCGCTCTTCTGGGCTTGATTTTGTTGTAATGGCTGACTTCCTTTAGTTGCACTTCCAGAGCTTGGAGCGTGCTGGGTGACAATGTCACTTTCTGAGCCATATGAACTGTATGGGCTCCGCTTTGCATGGCATGGGCCCCGCTACTGGGCTTTCTGTGGCTGTAATGGCTTACTGCATTAAGTTTTGGACCTCCATGGCTTGGACTGTGTGCTGGGTGACAACATTACATTGCTGAGCCGTATGAACTGTTTGGGCTCTGCTCTGCACGGCATGGGCTCTGCTAGGCTTGCTTTGGTTGTAATGGCTGATTGCCTTGAGTTGCACTTCCAGAGCTTGGAGTGTGCTGGGTGACAACAATACATTGCTGAGCCGTATGGGCTCCGCTCTGCACAGCATGGGCCCTCTACTGGGCTTTCTGTGGCTGTAATGGCTGACGGTATGGAGTTGGACTTCCATGGTGTGGACTGGGCTGGGTAACTACATTACATTGCTGTATAGACTGAACTGACTGGGCTCCACTCTGCCTGGCTTGCTGTTGCTGTAATGGCTGACTGCCTTGAGTTGCACTTCCAGAGCTTGGAGTGTGCTGGGTGATATTACATTGATGTTTAGACTGAACTGAATGAGCTCCGCTCTGCACGGCTTGGGCTCTGCTGGGCTTGTTTTGGTTGTAATGACTGACTGCCTTGACTTGCACTTCCAGAGCTTGGAGTGTGCTGGGTGAAATTTCACTTTTCTGAGTCATAAGAACTGTGTGAGCTCCACTCTGCACGGCATGGGCACTGCACTTTATAGGCTCTGCTGGGCTTGTTGTGCCTGTAATGGCTGACTACATGAAGTTGGACCTCCATGGCTTGGACTGTGCTGGGTGACAATATTACATTGCTGAGCCATATGAACTGTATGGGCTTCGCTCTGCACGGCATGGGCCCCACTCTGCTGGGCTTTCTGTGGCTGTAATGGCTGACAGCATGGAGTTGGACTGTGCTGGGTGACAACATTACATTGCTGGATAGACTGAACTGACTGGGATCCGCTCTGCTTGGCTTGCTGTGGTTGTAATGGCTGACTGCCTTGAGTTGCACTTCCAGAGTTTGGAGTGTGCTGGGTGACATTACATTGCTGTTTAGACTGAACTGAATGAGCTCCGCTCTGCACTGCATGGGCTCTGCTCTGCTGTGCTTGCCGTGCCTGTAATGGCAGACTGCATGGAGTTGGACCTCCATGGCTTCGACTGTGCTGGGTGACAACATTGCTGAACTGACTGGGCTCTACTGGGATGTAGGGGGTGTATGGGATGTACGGGCTATAGGGGATGTATGTGATGTATGGGGTGTACAGGATGTACTGGGTGCATGTGATGTATGGGGTGTATGGGATGTACAGGGTATATGGGATGTACGAGATGTATGGCATGTACAGGATCTATGAGCAAGAAGATATTCTGACAGGAAGTTTCAATGAACTTTCACAGCACCCCACAGCACTGTAGTAGTTCATGGAAAAATACAAGCTCACAGCCGCTAAGGCTGCCGGGACTTGCAGTTCATTCATTCACAGAAGTCTGTAAATGAATGATGCAGCTGTGTGAGCGGAGCCTCGCACAGCCACACTGTTTACAAAAATTTGACAGATAGTATGGGGAGACTTTTCCCGTATTATCTGTTACAGGGAGGGGGTGCGGCTGTGGGAACATATTACATGTTCCACCCTAAAAACAGGTGGAACATGTAACATGTTCCCAAAGGTGAACTTATCCTTTAAATATAATGTGTATAGTACTTGAATGTGATCTGGTATCAGCCTTCACAGCAGAGCTTGGGCGGGGGGGGGGGGAGCAGCACAAGGAGTATTAAAATAAACCCCAATTATTGGTGGCAGCAGACATTAAAAAAAAACCTAAAAGAAAATTAACGTAACCCGCCGGTGTCAGTGGGAGCAATAATGAAACATTGGTATCAGTGATTGTGGTTCTTAAATCCCCAGTATTGGTGTTGGCTCTCTACAGACACCAGAACTGGAAGGATGGTATCGCTGTGGGGATGGAGATCACTCCACCTGACAGCACCATTGCAGTGACGGGTTCTGGAATACTCCACGTTTCAGCATCAGGCACTTTTCTCAGACATTTGCTGCCCTCATCGATGAACACAGTCAGGTTTTTGTTTTTTTTAATAAAAATACAGATGGTTCTCAACAATGACCAGGGAGGAATACAAAACAAATGTTTAAAAAAAAATTGGCAATATAGGAAATGGGACACTTTGTCCTGCCCTGTACACAGCTCAGCAT